TGCTGCCTGCCCGTATTTCCTGTGCAGGACCGAGAGGAGTAGAGAAACGTCCTGTCCCGCCCCTTGATCAACTGTCGTGACAGTCAGAAAGAGGAAGGGGGAAGGGGAAGGTAGGTGTAGAGGAGGAGGAAGAAAAGGTGGTGCGGGAGAAACAGGACAAGGAGGAGAGTGGGGTGGGGGGGGAGGGAAGGGGGCTATGAATGAAGCAGCAGCAGTAGGAAAAGGAGAGCTGATTTGTCTTACTGCTCTTGGTTGACATGTCGATTATTTCTTTCACGTCTGGGTGAATTCCCTGACAAGCAGTGAGGAGATTGGCAGAAGCGGATTGAGGACAGGGAGAAAGAGGGGTACGAGAGGAGATTCAGATGACGGAGGAGGACAGAAGCAGGTGCAGGAGGTGCAGGAGAACGAGGAGCAGGGGCAGAGGAAGGGGCAGGGGCAGGGGGAGGGGGAGGAGAAGGCATATGGAGAGGATCTTCACCACTTTGATGAACTCGGCCAGCATCTTCGACATCTTCGGCCCCGGGCTGTGCAAGAATGCGACGAGAGCATTCTCAACGAAAGGAGAGAGCTGGAATCAAGAATGTTTACAATCATCCCTTGCCCACGTGATGCGCAACTTACATGTTGCAGCAATAAAAAGTGTGAGTTGGTACCATATTCCGTACTTTCAGTCGTCTGTCCATTATCGTCAGCAAAAGCAAGAGCTTGTCTTTGATTCAAATTACCTCGTTGCTCTTGTTGCTGCATAGGAGAAGAGAGGCAAAGAGAAAGTCAAGAAGTATTCTACATTCTCCACTAGAACAAGACAAGTCTCAGTACTGAAAGGATTGAGAGAGCAGGGGAAAATACCTCTTTTCTTCAATCTCACACAGTGCAACGAGACAGTCTGGATGATAATTCATACTGCCAGATGAGATCTGTTTTTTTGCTAAACAAGAGTTTTCAGATCAAGACAAAAACAGAGCAAAGGCAGCAAGGCAAGGAGACGAGAGGAGAGGAGAGGAGAGGAGAGGAGAGGAGAGGAGAGGAGAGGAGAGGAGAGGAGAGGAGAGGAGAGGAGAGGAGAGGAGAGGAGAGGAGAGGAGAGGAGAGGAGAGGAGAGGAGAGGAGAGGAGAGGAGAGGAGATATGACACGACATGACAAGGCTCAGGCGTAAGCGACTTTGAACATTACCGATTGCGAGAATTTCTTTTGAAACATCGGAAGTGAAGATCGCAAACGCCTGTTTGCATCCTTCTTCGCTTTCAAACTGCAAGCGAAACCGCACAGATGCTGACTTCACATCGACGTTCTCGTTCTCATCTCGAGTGTTTGAAGGCAAGACATCTTGTTCCTCAAAACAACAGGAGATGGAGAAATCCTCTACATCGAAATGTTCTTTCAGACTGGATTGCAAGGTGTGCTCGAGGCTTCTCAACAGACTTTGCTCATCCACTTGTTGATTATGCTCGAAGATGAACCGAAACGCTCCTGTGACACACATTCTTTGCATTATTATCGCCATTGCCTCTGATATGATCCATCCGGAAGACAAGCTCTGTGGGCCAGTCGTCCACTTCGAGTTGTTCTGCAAGGCAACGAGGTACAGTGCGACATCTTGGAAGTTTGCTGATTGTCCAACGTCCAAGTTCTTGAATGTCATCAATGACATGCTAATCAGAGACGGCTCCATCCTTGAACGGACTCTGCTTCTGACCTGACTGCTTGCAAATACGACATCGTACAAGGACGAGAAGACGGCAGACCGCAAGAAGCGAGGCAAGACTCTCTTGGCTTCCTCCTTGCACAGATATCGAGTAGCCAGGAACATGTTGTGATCCTGTTGCAAGTTTCCAGCATCCAACCACCACAGCCCCAGCGCCAACTCTCGCTCCCCCTCCTCGCATTGCAGGGCTTGCGCGATGCGGATCAAGCTTTCCTCGAGCTGTTCCAGCACCTCCTCGACATTTTCACCTGCTCGCATCAGATACTTCCCGTTGAAGTTGCACGCCAAGTACAAGATCGCGATCCTGAGCTGCGAAAGAGAGCTGGTAGTCTTCAAAGCCTGGTAGTCGACCATGGCATCAAGAAGATCCTTCATGGTCAGCGCATGGAACTTCGCGCTGGAAAACATCTGTGATGCATTGGTAGAGACGAGCTGATCGAAGAGGATGCTCTTGAAGTTCCTTCGGTCCTGAAGGCTCGGATCTTCGATACTCTCCTTCAGCATCTCTGCTGGAACCTCGGTCTGAACTTTCATCTTCGCAATAGACAGGGAGGCACGACGACGCAGCTCAAGTCTCTCCTTGAGCACAGATACAACATCTCCTGCATCAGAACGTCCTGACGCCTCCACCGTGAGCCTTCGTGAGCGAGCTCGTGACACCAGAGCATCAAAGAGTTTTTCCAGCCCAACCATGATGGAGAGATCCTGCAGGGTCTGCTTGATGCTGAGAGCCACAACGTCCCTCGAGCCCAGCATTTTTGCCAGCATCTTCAAGGAAACGAGACAAGTTACCTCAAAGAACAACTACATCCTCTCTCCTCTCTCTCATTACCTCCTTACCCCACCGGGCTGCTTGTTGCTCGTGCATATCGCCGCACTTGTCTTCGGCACCTACCATAGCAGCAAAGGGAAGGAGAAGTCCCTCCCTGCACACCTCATGAAATATTCCTTCTCTCATCTCCTCTCTCTTCCCCAGCCCTTCCTCCACCTCCTCCAGCACCCGCCCCCGCCTCCCGCCCATTCCGCTGGCGTGCCTGCCTGAATTCATCCCCCTCATCCTCAACCCGGCCCGGGCCCGCCGCCGGGCTTCTGCCGGAGCACTGAAGTTGACCGAACCGGCCCGGGGCCCGGGGGCCCGGGGCCGACCGGGGGCCGCGGAAAGCCAAATGTGACTCAAACGTGACTACTACTGTTATAAAGAGTAAAGTAGTTATTAAAGTGGTATATCCGGTAGAGAATATTTAACAAGTATTTTATGGGTACGTATCGTACTTGATCTTGGTACCATTAGGAGAGTTTTAGTCCAACACTGTACTGTTAACAAATTTTATACTGTACTAAGTTGTTTTTAAAATACTACCAAGAGTGGGATCCCTGACGGGGGCGACATTTTTTGTATAAAAACTATTTTTATCGCACCCCACCCTCTTATTCGACATTTTCTCACCCACCCAAAGGAGGTGTTGCAAGGAATTAATTGTACCCCCACCCCCTAAAAGTCCTTGAACTGATTGGGTATTCCCTCTAAATTCCTTGTCCTACCCTCCAGGGCCAGCTCCGAGGTGACCCCACCCACGAGATGCCTCTGGTGTACGTGGGTCAAAGTCGCTAGGACCAGACTATGGCTCTTGTGAGTGTCTGTAGTACCAAGAAAGTTTTCGTAGAGGTTCTACCAACATCCTATGACCCCCTACGGCTGCTATCTTGAGATGGTACTCTTGTTTTTGTGGCTGCAATCATCCTATAATCCTATAATCCTATAATCCTATAATCCTATAATCCTGTAATCCCATAATTCTAGGACCTCTCTAAGGAGAAGATAGGACCTGTGTGGGAGGAAATTTGGCTGGGAGCAAAATCAATTGTAGAGTGGTCCTACTAGTCACCATAGTTTGTGTCATAGGAACAGAGCAGTTAAGGTCATAGGAAATGACCTAGGCCATGGTGATATCTCACACCGGGTGGTCATACAATTGATAGGGGGGGTGATCGCAGCTGTCCTAATATGGGTGGGTGTAATTGGGCCTGATGGAGGGGGTAGGGTGGTCAACGGTATTGAATGTAAAGACAGGGTACTGACTTCTGGTGTTGAAGCGTGTTTTTGGGTGGTCACACAAGGGGGTAGGGTAGTTAGGGACACGCATTTCTCGGCCAGGGTGGGCGAGAGGCATCGAAATCCAATGAGGGTAGGGTACTCATTGATTAATATTCTTGGGTGGGTAAGATAGACTTCGAGAAGGGGGTACTGCATAGGGGGGGTAAAGAAGTTGGAATATGTTGGTGGGTGGTTTTTTGGTAGGGTGGGGTATAGGAGGATGGGTAGGGGTATCTGGTATTGGGACACACCAGGGGTAGGTACTTTGCATCACCTGATGGGTGGTCTGGTACTTGAGTAAAACTAGTACTGAAAGAATGATAGAGTAAACGTTTCCTGATATTCGCGAGCAATGCACAGAAGCGCTACAAAAGATGTTGTGAGAGCGAGGAGAGGCACATGGCAGAGGGCATGGGCGGCAGGGGTCGGTGCGGGCCAGGAGGAGCAGGAGGAGCAGGAGGAGCAGGAGGAGCAGGAGCAGGAGCAGGAGCAGGAGCAGGAGCAGGAGGAAGGATGTATGCCAGGATAAAGTAGAGCAAGACGAGTTTTAGATAGCTGAGCCTGAAGTTGGGAGCAGTGCCAAGTGACAATCGAAGGAACTGAGCAAAGAGACAACGTGGAGGAGCAGGGAGACGAACATCTAATGAGGATCAGCAGTGGAAGTGAAGAAGCACGGGCATGTGTGAGTTATGATTATGAGCGATGTCAACATTTCAAGGGCAAGAGCCAGTCATGATATGGGACCTAAAGGAAACAGCAGGAACAGCAAAGTGGTGCAGGAGACAGGCCAGAAACTAGCTGCCCTAAGAGCAGGGTCAGTATGGTCGGTGGAGAAGCTAGGTTCCAGGCTAGTTTTTGACATAGAAATTATGGGGAGAGAAGGGCCTATCATTAGATCCAGGTGTGATTTCAAGTGACAATGTCGTATATTGCATCATGTGCAGTGCACGCTTTGTATGACAGTTGAGATACAATCAGAGAAAGGAATGCAATCAGAAAAAGAGATGCGATGACAGATGTGTTGTTGCGTGCTGTTGCTTTGCAAATGTCGCATGTAGCTTTCATCTGGAATGATCGGAGATGTTGAATTGATTTCACGGATGCTCTAAAGACCTGGATGGCTGTGATAATGTTCCTGTTTTGCTTTTGAGCTGAATTATTGCTGCAGGTGGTGGATCCAACAGAGTTACAACAGC